CAACTGTATGCTATTAATTTGAAAAGTCCATCACTTCTAAGTTTTGTATATCAAAGCTATATGTGGCATTATCTATACCTATTCCTGCAAGGTGGAGAATTTTTTGCAGCTTTAGGGCTGATACACAAGGTCTTTCAGTCTTACTTAATGTGGATGGATCACTGCTGTCAGAAATGGTAGATGTGGATGTTGATACAAATATTATGCAGGTAGACAGCCATCAGAATCTGGATGGATTCACTTGAAGAAAAGAAACGAATGCAACTATTGTACATTCTGGCTTGTTTAGTATTATTGACTGAATACATGGATAGAAGTGGAATAGTAAAAGGAATATCTGCTTGTTTGATTTAACCATCATAATGAAATAACTATATGTTTGTGAACTGTATAAATGTTCAGAGAAGTAGGCAGTTCTTAAGAAAAAAGAGTATAACAATGTAAAACTGTTTACTAGCCTGAAGATCCTGCAAGTTCAGGCACGCAGGAGCAGTTCTTATAATTATGCTTTATTTGAGCAATGAGGTTTTTCGTTAGTTTGCTTGCACCATTGGCATTTTTCATGATTCTCTGTTTTACCCACTGGTATGGAAAGTTTGTTTCCACGTGCAATCTCTTTTACAGCCTACTGACATGATTAGTTTGAATCAATAAGAAGTACACTTCAGGATCAGAAACGTATTAAGTTTGTAGATGTTATTGTGTTCCCTTTTTATTTCAATTTCTATTACTTGCATAATAAAACTTCTTGGTCCATCACTTCAAATTCACTGAAATCCAAATACATGTGATCATTAGTGTATTAAACTTTTGCTGAACATTTTCCTGAACAGTTTACAGAAGGGCAGAACTTTGGTTTAGAATGGTCACCAACTTTTTCTTCAAGATGATTTGTATATTAAACATTTAAAAGATATTGGGGTTTTCGTTAAAATTAATCTGCATGAGGATAATTATCACTCAAATTAATTTATGGGTGATTTTTCTTATACATTGAAATAATCCTCAGGCCAAACAAAGTAAGTCCAAAACTATTTTCATAAAACCTGTTATATCTGTTTCATTATTTTTAAATAAATTGCTTATGGGCATGATTTCTTAGCTCCAGCTTTTGTAATAATTTAGTTCATGTGTTTTTCCTGTTTCTTTTTTTAACAGGCATTTATAGCAGTAATGATGTAGCAGTATCATTTCCAAACGTAGTGTCTGGCTCAGGATCTAGCACTCCTGTTTCCAGTTCACATTTACCTCAGCAGTCTTCTGGTCACGTGCAGCAAGTGGGAACTTTGTCTCTGTCTTCTACACCTTCTCTAGCTACAGCTGTTGCTGCAACTCAAGTAGGTTGTTAAAAGTATTTGATGGTAAATATCGATGTGGCAAATGGGACATACTGGCATTTTGCACATGCTGTTTCAGATGAAGGTATCCAAAGGATAAACTGTATGTAAATCTTTCCATTCTTTTAGTGTGTTACGGATAAAACCAGACTAACTGCTCATTGTTTCAGTTTCTTTTCATCAGTTTCACAAATGGGTTTAATGTTCAGAATCTGCATACCATAAAGTTAGATGTTGGTTTTAAAACAGGGTCTCTGTTGTTTGGTATTCTATTCATATGTGTGCCAGCTTTGTCTTCTTAGCAGTTGTGGTCAGTGACAGGATTCGCTCATATTAAGCTAATTTTGTTTGCTTGGTTGTGACCTAGCATGTTACGTTAGCCCAGTCAGTTGTGGTTCAATATACTATGGTTAAACAAACAGTGCTTAGCATTATATGCATAAACCCAGCTAATGAATGTCTTTGAAAATCTTCACTGAATTGTAGTTAGTAATTAATAGTAGTTACTAATTTAGATTCTCACATTGGCATACCTAATGTGCATAATAATTTGATGATTGTTTCTTTACATTTGTAAGCAGATTTGAAAGCCAATGTAGTTGCTGTGATTTTTTTTTCAATTTGATCACATGCTTTATGATATATTAAAATCTTAGCAAAAGTGCTGCAATGTCATAGTGCATATTATTTTATTTTTATTCATATTTCAAATGTGGACACTGCCCATCTCATGAGGAAGTGACTTATATTAATCATACTAGTTAACAATAGCTAATAACAAACTATCTGATTAACAGATTCTTGGGGGTACATCCAGATACTGAATTCTTCAATACAAACTTCAGTTGGAGAACGTAAAAATAATAAAAATTTTATAGTGTTAGAGGTATACATTTTAAAGAGGAAAAAAGATTTACATTCAATCCCTCCTGGAGATTGACCTCCTTTAAATACTAATTCCAAAGTTAAAAACGTATAATTGAAAATTTCCTTATATAAATGTAGCTATATGAAAAGTCAGGTAGTAGCAAGCAAACTGCTTATTTCATTACCTAATCTATTTTGCTAACTGAATATTTTTACTTACAGAAATTATTCATGGTCTCTTTCCAAAAATAGTACCCCCATCTCTTAGAGTATGCTTAATCAGAATGGCTCCTTTAGTTACTCACCTGTAGAGCATAGACTTCAGGAAGCTAAATTGCTTCTTGGTTTTATTTCAGGAAAGTTCCTTTACCATATTAACCCTTTTACGACTAAATTGGGTGAAAAAGCTTCTGATCTTCTGTCGTCATAACTATTCTAGTAGTCATTTATATACATCAGGCATCCCCAAAAGGCAATATTCTTTATGTCTTACACATAAAAATAGTCTACTAAAGTATTAGAACTAAAAGAAACTTTTTAACTTCAACATTAAAGTAGAATCCTATACCTAATTGTTCAAAAATAATTGATTTGCAGCAGAGTCTGTGGTAAATCTGCATAGGATTAAAGTTTGTTAATCCTTTAAGAACACATCCCTTCATAATTTCCAGCTTTACAGGTGAAATAAATGGAAGTATAACAGTTCTTTTACTGAAGCATTCATTTAGTGCCTGTGGTAGGTGCTGTTGTCATTAAAGCAAAACGGTGCAATAATTTCTTTTTAAGTAAAAATATAATTGCTTTTTGTAATTATCTTTCTAAGAAACAGAAAGTAAATGAGAAAATAAATGTTTTTAACTAATTTTTCAATTAAATATGTGATTATATAACAGTGTTTTCAATCGTACTATTTCTATCTTTGAGCTCACTCTTGTATTCTCTATATGCACACATACATTTACTACAATTGTTTTGAATATCTGTTGGAATTTAGATAGATGATGTCCTATATCAGTAGCTTGTGTTTTTATTACTTATGTGCTAACATTGGATAAGTACATTTTTAGAAAAGCATTAGTAGCTTTTTAACCTCATTATTCCAAAGAAAGAGGATAATAGATAGGACATGTTGAATAATAATTGCTCATTATTTGTTCCTTTAATGCTTCTGAGAAAGTAGATGCTAAATAGATTTTTTTTGAGAAGTTGTGCAATGCTAACAGTATAATCCATTGCACGCTTACCTGAAAGTAAACTGCAAGAAAAGCAAAATAGGATTGCACTGTAAGTAATTAATATTCTTTAATATACTGGCATGTTTATTGCTGTACTTTAATTTTACAATTAATGTTTTACAAGTTAGTATTTAGTTTACTTTCCTATTCCAGCCCTTTTTCACACATTAATTAATAAGATGAAAGTGTGTGCACATCACATCCCATTTTATAAGAATTATTACTGTGTGGTTTTGCTTTCTCCTCTTCAATCTTCAGTGTCACTTTTTCTGTTCTTCTTAAACAAAATATATTTCATTTCAATTTGTTGGACCACTAGATAGCTTTCCTTCCCTTTTTAAAAAAGAGAATGTATATATATTGTCTAAAATATATTGTTGCTGTTTATAAACTGATACAATGTACTTGCTTTATACTTTCTGTATTGAAGCTATGTATTCCACACTTTCAGTTCTTAGAGCTTGTTCCTGATTCTTCCTTAGGTGAAGAGGAAAAGTTCAAAGAAGTCTTGTACATATATAAGTTGCTTGTGTAAAACTGTGTAATATCACTTGTATATAGAAAGAAAGAATGAGATGCAATTTGCAATAATTTGAGTTCAGACATGTTCTTTTCCAAGACATGCCATTCCATTTTCCCTTCCCCAATGATAAGTTAACACTCCCTGGCTACTGAGCATTGTTATGCTTCACTGGACTGTTTTGGGGTATTTTCTAAAAGCTGCTTTGATATTTCTGGAAACCTCAGAGTTTCCTTGAGTGTGGTAATACCTCCTCTTGTACCTGGGCTGGGCTGTTTGGCTATATGAGGACCAGTAACCGGAGGGAGGTTCCTGTGGAAAGATGCAAGTGCGGAGTCATAATTATCTGCAATATTTTCAGTAGCTTTGATTTTTTAAGTAAATGCCTGAACAAAATATGTTCTCGTCTGTTTATGTAGAATCCAGGTTTCAGCAAACTGTCTCCCCTTTGAGGCATATAATCTTGTTTACTTTTCAAAACAAAACTAAGTTTTGAATTCGTGTTATACTGTTACCATTTTCCTTTATTTGATCTATTTATACTGCAATTTCTCTTTTTCCTTCTTTGAGTGTGTATCTTTGGGATTCAGATTATGTGAATTCTTGCCTTCCTATTTTTTTTCCATGTATTAATTGATTTTTAGCACAGCCTTTTTCCCCATCAGAATAAACCCTGATTTTTTAAAATTTAAAAATAAAAAAGGGATTCAGTGTGAATTATGTAAGACCATATATTTAAAATGTGGGTTGGGAAATTACCATCTCACATTCATAATTGCAGGTCTAGGCATAGTCACAAATAAAGTATATGGAATTCCTATATTTACACTCCAGGAACAGAGAAGGAGTTATAATTAGCAGTCATGGATTATCACAGAACTTTTTTGTTCTGGGATTGCAGAAAGAGTCTAGTAAAACAAAATTTATCAGAAAGATTAGAATCTTCAAACTATTTACCTGCCTATAAAGACAATGAATTCATGGGGATTTGCTTCTCAGTAGATGTGCAAGATTGTGCAATAATCTCAGTAGATGTGCAATAATTTCAGTAGATGTCCATAAGATTGTGCAACCAAGTAAGCTGCTCTTTGGAGTACATTGAACATATTCACAGATTAACGGCAGTGAGCATTTACAATATTTGAACAGCCATTCTGTTTTTCAAATTTTAACTATAATGAGAGAGATAAGGCAAACACGGCCTTAGTATTTTTCCTGAAAATAGGAATAGACCAACAGTAATATGTAGCTTATACTGGAATGTTAACTATCTGTAGTGGTTCTGTGCACAAAGTATGTGGGAGAATTGTTGTGTCAAGACCTGAACTTTGTCCTGAATTTCTCTGTTTTTGAAAAGTGGTATTTGTTTCATTCCACAGTGACCCCCGCTGGCAGGTAGTATAAAAACAACCATATCTAATCAATTTTTCCTCCTTCCCTTAACGTAAGGATTCCCAAATGATCCCGTATTTTCTGATTTCAACAAAAATGTTTTTGCTAATTTT